TTGGCTTCTTGTGAACTGAATGAAGGTTCCAGGGGAAAGCCGTTTTCTGGCCAACCGTCCAGGCATACCTTAGTTGCTGTCACTGATCTCACTGTCTCCATGTGACCAGCACGCCCCCACCTCTGCCCTGTGTTTCTGGTCTCCATCCCTCCTTCCTTCCCAGCTCTCTGTCCTTTGGCCTTGAGTCCTTGCTGCCTTTTGATGACTCTAAGGGATGGACACCACTCTGGAGTTACTGCCCCCTTACAAACCTGTCGGTTGGTTGGCTGAAAACCAGTCATGGGGGGAGTCCATTGCCAGGCCTGGAGGGTGACTGAGGCCGTAGCCTTGGTCTCTCTCTGGCCAGCAAACTTGGGCTCTGTGAAGATTTTGAGTTTTGTTTCACGTCTTCTCCCACTGGATCCAGGATCTGCTCATGGGATCCCTCTCCGAGCAGCTGGTGGCAGAAGCCGGGCACCATCTGCTCTTCTGGTTCTCAGGGTTGTGGGGTCCCATGTTCGAGTGTCTATTACTTGTGCACTGAACAAATTGCTTCCACGTGTCTTTGATTTTCCTCACTCTTCGTTAGTCGCACCTCAGATGGCTGCTCAGGAGATTTTAAGACTCCAGTCTAGTCACCAAAGCAGGGTGCAGAATGATGTCTCGGGACATCACGATGACTCAGCACACAGCATTGTCCACAAAGACAACCTCCTGCTCCCTCTGGGTGTTTAAGGAAAAGGAGCCTGGAGCTACAGCAGGTACATACTCCGCTGTGGAGCAAAAGCCACCTTTCTGCATCCATGAGCTGCTCCGAGGAGAAAAGGCCCGGCTATCCTCCCGGAAAGACTGTAGGCTCGGAAACCCAGCGTAGCAGTGCCGCTGTGTCCTACAGTCCCCATGAGGCCCAATCAACTCAGGCAGGGGGGCTTAAGAGAAAGGGGAATTTGGCGGGGTTGGGTGGGGGAGTGTCGTGGGATGTGGCTGCTGGAAGCCACCCCCCTCAGGTTCTCTCCACGTGTCCCTGTGTCCTCTCCAGCTTTAATGACAGTGGCTCTGGACCCCCAGGATGGCCTGGCCAGGCCCTGGTGGCCCTGCTGAGGTCCTGCTTTGTGCCCCACACAGACAGACTTCTGAGCATCGCCCACCTGCCTCCACTTCTGGCGGCCTCAGGGTAACCTGTGAGTGGCCCAGTTTCTTCATCGGTAAACTAGCACTGTAGCTGTATTTGCCCATCTCTCGGGGCCAAGGGGAGAATCGATGAGATCATGCAGACAACCGGGCTCGGCACACAGCGGGGCTCTGGACAAATATTGGTGGTTGTATCACGTGCTGGCAGGGTGTGGGGAGAAAAGGGTCACAGCCCTGACTGGGGTCCGTGACTCTGTGGACTCACGTGGGAATAGGATGTCCATGCTGTGGCTTCCTGGCTGGCCCTGGCGGAGGAGGGCAGCTGTGGTGATGGGCAAGGTCTTCCCGCTGCCCACCGGGGCATGGGAAACTTGGACAGCCTTGCCTTTGCACCCTGGGATGGGAAGGAGGCAACCCTTTGTTCGTGAGGCTTTAGTCCTGGAGGCCAGTTCTGGCGCTGTGTGGCCTCAGGCCCCAGAGCACCCTCTCTGAGCCCCTGCTGGGGAGTAAAACTCAAAATGGAACTCATTGCTATGAAGTCAACGACAACTCATAGGACAAGGTAGACCTGCCCCTGTGGATTTCCCAGATCATAAGTAACTCTTTAGGGGAGTAGAAAGGCCCATCTTTCTCCAGGGGAGCAGCTGGTGGTTTCGAACCGCCGACTTTGCAGTTAGCAGCCCCATGGGTAACCCCTGCACCACTAGAGCTCCTAAAAAGAACGACTGAGGTCCATCAAAATAAACACCTTCCTGGACTCACGACATCCGGGACATTTCTCAGACACCTTATAAGCCAGGCAGGAAAGACACAACAAAAACCAATCCTACCAGGTCATTTCCCTGGTCCCAACAAATAGCGAGCCCTTCCAAATGCCCTGTGCATGTCACATGGACAGGCAACCTGTCTGACCCGTGAGAGGCTGCCCGGTTCAGTGGGCATTTCAGACCCAGACTTGTTTTCAGAGAAATCCAGTGACCGCCCCCCTTGAACCACACCGGTTTTGAACTGCGTGGGTCTGCTCAGATCCAAGGTAGGTGTTTGTCCTTCATCCCACCCCCAGTGAAAAGCCGTGGCATTACAGGAAAAGTCGATTGCTTCGTGTAGGCCATTGATCGGGGCTGCCCAGTATGTCGAGATAGATGAAGCCGTCCGGTGTGAGGATGATTGAGAAAGAGGCCGGGAAATGTGTGAAGCTGCCACTGCAGCCACACCAGCAGGGGCAAAACAAACAATGGGTGGACTGTGACCCCCATGGTGAGACAGCGCGGGGCTGGGCGGTGCTTCATTCTTGTCGTACATCGAGCCGCTGTGAGTCAGGACCAACTCGACCACACTCGGCCATTGGACCCCCCAGTTACTCTGAGTACGTCTGCCCTCTTGCCTCTCCTTCCAGCAACTCCACCTCGACCATCCCCATCCTCCCAGTGCTGTCCGGCCGGCCGGAGCCCCTTGTTGCAGCCACTGCGTCCATCCATCTCCTTGAGGGTCTTCCTCTTTTCCGGCTGACTTTCTCCAAAGCAAACCAACCCTGCCACTGCGTCAATACTGACTCCGAGGGAGGCTGGAGGACAGGGTAGAACTGCCCCTGCGAGTTTCCGAGACACTAACTGTGGACGGGTGTTGACCCCATCTCTGCCTCGGAGCCACTGGTGGTTTCGAACCTCCAAACGTACAGATCTCAGCCCAGCGCATAACCACTACGCCATGAGGAGTCCTACAAGCATGGCTGTACTCACACTAAAACCCTTGCAGGGGACATGCATATACTAAGGGTATACTACAGAGTCACTTGTATTTTTATTTCAGTGAACCTTTCCATCGTGCCACCGGCACATCTCAACCTCAGCTCGGGGGAATTTTCTGCTCAGGAGCCACTTGTGGGCCAGGCAGGTGGGAGAGTGTCAGGTGGCACCCCAGATCAGGAACCGCACCCCCAAAGGGACAGCCTGCAGAGAGCCAACCTGCCCCTCCCTCCCACTTTATCTTGGTGTGGAGCTTTCCAGAAACAACTAAACACATTCTATTTCTGACCATCCTGTGGTTGGTAAATAAGGGAAGAAAGTCCACTGGCCACCACTGTCCTCTCAGCAGCTTTTCAAAATGTGGCAGGGGCTGTGGGGGCCGGGGAGGAGGGAGGGTAGGGAGAGGCCAGGAGAAGCCTTCTCCCCCTGCCCCAGCCTTCCGCCTCTGACCCTGAGCACCTGTCTCTCCACCTCAGTGTGCACATCTGAGAATAGGGCGGAGTGGCAGGTGCAGCACTTTGGGAGGGACAAGTACGGAAGGTGAGGCAGCTACTAGAGGAAGATGGAATGTAAGCAAGAGGTGTGTACCAGAGTGCAGGGGGGCCTGCGTCTCTCTGCTGGGCTCCTGGAATACCAGGAAGCATTGCCAGAGGACAGCCCCCAAGGCCACAGAGCACACTTGGGTCTCCACCAGGGTCTCAGAGCAGTAGGGGTCCTCTGCACCCCTCTGCCACTGGCTGCATTATGCAAACTCCCCTGCCCACCCCAGGAAGAGGACTCTGCATATGCCCATTTTCACACGGGGAAAGTGAGGCTGGGAGGGAAGCGCGTCTTGCTGAGCTCATCCAGCCTGGAAGGGGCTGAGTAAATCTGAGGCACATGACCTGAAGCCTCTACTTCCTGTGCGGCCAGGACAGGCCCCACCGCCACCCTTTGTCCCCTTCAGCCAGAAGGACCAACCCAGGGCGAGAATCTGAGGGGCTGGTCTCAGGCCCAACAGTGGCGTGGGGGGACAGAGTGGGGGGTCCCAACCAGGCCAGTAGTCAGGATGCAGAATGTGTTGATGTGCCTTTAAAAAAAACCATCTGAATGAATGTGAAACTCCTCTGATGTGCAGAACATGGTGGTTGCCAGCAAAGATGGCATCGTCTGCCCAATTTCTCCTTTGATGGGTCTTCATTCTCAAGTTTCCTATTTCATCCAGCATGTGCTTTTTATTTTTTCGTTTTTGTAACATTCATTTTGATTTCCAAACAAATCGTGTGAACGTCTTCATCTTGTTAATTTTTTATTTTTCATCTTGTTAATTACTAAGGGTTTTCTGGCATTTTTAAAAATTGGGGGTGGGGACCCGAGGAGAGCACCTCCTTGCCTGCTGTACCCTGGTAACCAGCGTGGGTGTCCACTTCCCACCAACACAGGCAGAAGAGTCAGGCAAGGATGCCCCCAGGCCTGGGAGAGGGGAAGAGGGGGAGAGTAGCATAAACAATGCAAACAGTTTGCAGCTCCCAGTCCTGGTGGCGCAGTGGGCTACAATCCCAGAGGTCATCAGTTCGAAACCACCAGCTGCTGTCGTGGAGGTTGGTGCTCTGTGTTCCTATGAACAGTCCCAGTCTCAGGAACCCGCAGGGGCAGGATAGGCTCGCTGAGCTGAGTTGGCACTGACTCGATTTGGAGGGGGGGGGGGGGGGACCACAAAGACCAGCCTGTAACTTCAGATAGTGCCCACCGCTCACTCACTATTCTAGACTTGGGGGACACAGCCCCTGCCCCCCAGGGGGGGCTTGGTGAAGTGGCTGCAGGTGGCAGAGGTTGTCGCTCCGTCCTGTTGCTGAGATGTCGGGACGCAGGCTTGGCCATAAGCAGCTTGCTCAGCGGCCCAGCCAGTGGGCGCCGTGCCAGCTGGCAGACTGGGGCTTGGGGTGGGGGGAGCCCCCAGCGCGGGCCAGGTTCTCGGAGGCCACGGGCTGGCAGCGCGCCGCCCCCGCCCTGGCACGTTCATTCATTCACGACCTGCTGAGTCACCCTGATGAAGGGGCCAGGCCAGCCCCGCCCCGCCCGCCGCCGCCCGGTGAAATAGCCCCGCTTCCCCGTCGCCGCTCACTGCCTCGAGGGTCCCCACGGCCGACGGGCGACTTCCCGAGCCCGGCAGGCACCCCGACACCCCGCCCTCGGGAGCCTGGCCGGCAGGCTCGCCGGCTCCTCCAGCCGCTGCCCGC